TTAAATTCCAAATGTGCTTCGCGCCACAACGGCGTGCAATTTCATCTCTCATCTGGCCAGATGGCTCCCGCCGCTTTAGCGAGCCTACTTTTCGACCCTCTGGAGCCACAAATCATTGGAAAAACCCAGTGTTTCGCGACTTTTCTACCTTTTCAGGCACATGCATCTTCTTTCTTCTGACTCTTTCTCTTCTCTCATCTTCTCTCTTCTTCTCTTCTCTTCTCTGACTCTTCCCACCTCTGTTTTTCCATCTGTCCATATTGTCGAAAGTTTGACTTCTAAACTTCCTTCAACAATCATATCCTACCATCTATATCTGTATAAATATATACATAAATATATATATATATGTATGTATGTTCACAAAATACTCTGACCTAAGGTCTTTATCTCTTGGCCTCTAGAGGAAGAAGCCTGAAACTTCCTAGTCTCTTGTGGCAAGCCATGATTGGGTTGCTGATGTTGCCCTTAATATCTGCTCTCGATCAGCCATGGATCCCAACTCAAAAAATGTCAGCCGGCCTCTGGCGTGGGAAAAAACACCATTGCCAGCAACGGCGGCATCAGAATCGCTAGAGTGGCCATGACCATTCCTGCAAACAAAAATCATCTGATCACAACTCTTGAATCTTATGGTCTCTGGCTTGCCCACTTGGGGCGTTGCAGAACAAACTCCAGTTGTTTGATGTTTTTGATGCTTGGATTTGTTTGGGGCTTCGAGTTTTGGGGCCCAGATCGATCACAATTTGGGGTGACATGCTCCGGCCACAGCGTGAACTGCGGCACTGGAGATAAACTGATCACCCTTCCACTGCTGCTCTCCTCTGGGAGTTAGGTCATCTTTCTTTTTGGCCTGGCAGTGACTGCTCCTAGGTCCTAGGTACCATGTCACCATCACAACCTGCTTCCAGCTATGGGGATATGACAGAGAGACGTTGAAATGTATATGTACGTAGAGCCCCTGGCCATTTCGTTTTTGGACAGCACTCCTTTTTTACCCGGATACAAGTTTGGTTTCAATTTAGTTTGTTGAGCTCTTGCATCATAATGTTAAGCGATTATGTCATATAATATTTCTTTCTTCTTTCCGTTTCGCTTTTCAGCCCTTGGCAATTGTAAAAGTCCACTCGAAAGACAGCGGGCAGGGTTCAGATAAGTACGTATATAATGTGTTTATGTGTATATACATACATAAAGTTCCACTGCTTTTATTTACGCAATGATCAACCGTATCGTAGGGACACCAGAGATCGACCCAACCCTAGATATGAAACCCCAATTTATTGCCCGGAGCCTCTGGTGACTCTGGCTCATCGATGTTCAGGGAGCGTTTCTTCGGCATGGCGCTCGATAAGCGCCCAACGAAATTTGGGGATGCTTTGATGGGTGTAAACTGTAAACCAACAAAAACCAGGTTTTACCTAACAACATGTGGGTCCTTGCTTCAGCCTAGGTAGTTGCAACCTCAGTAAGAATTAGCGCAAACCATGGTTTTTGGCTCCGAATCTTCGGGGGGTCGTGTAAGTTTTACCTGGAACCAATTGGGGAAGTATAGGCAAAATGAGCTGTCCAATATTTTCCAATGTTGTATATTCGCTCGAAAACCGGTTGGTCTAGTACTAAGAACGACAAGATGTTTGAATGTGTCGATCTGCTGCGGCGAAGTCTTGGTGCCACATGGAGGGCCATGGAGGGCCGCAGTTGCAAAGGCTAGATATTGGACATGAAATTGTGTTGTTTAGCACATGTTCGTTCAAGTAGTCAGAAAAGACATAGGGTGTAACGTCTCGGTGGCGGTGCGTTTTTATTGCTGGCAGCCAAAGCCAGGCTCAACACTGCGCGCGGATCACTGCCTGCCCAAAATCTCCAGTGTCATCCCCGTCCACTGGTTGGCCTATCTTGGGACTTCCACGGTTGCGCGTTAGGTCAATCTGCACCCAAACTTTGGAGATTTGGGTTGGGGATTCCCATGTGAAAGGCAATAGGATCTCCTGGAACCTGAGAGCAGTGCAGAATAGCTTACTGGCCTCAGAAGGCTGCAGGTCAGATGGGTCCTGCTTTATTTATATATATAATCTGTGTTCTGTATATTTAAACTTATCTTATGTGTATAGCTACAGAAATATATACTATACTATAATACATATACATATTACAAATTACATGTTTCCTTTTTACATACTACATGTTACATATTCCATATTCCATATACATATACATATCACATATTGCATATGACAAATACATATTACATATACATATACATATGACATTTCACATATTACATATTACATATACATATTACATATACAGATACAGAATGATACAGATGCATGTGGCTACAAAAGATTTAAATACATGTACATATGTATATATTACATGTATATATAAAGTATATACATGCATAATACAGAATGATGCACACACATACCCTCTATTGTGTTTGATCTCCTTACTCCTTAAACGTAGCCTCTTTGGTGGAACGACCGCTAAAGTACCGAAAGAAGATGTTTGACCCTTAAAAATGGGAAGTACGACCACTGCGCAACAGAAGAACCTGAGTTGGATGTCCTGGACATGGCTGAGTGATTCTGGGCAAAAGATCACCATGAAAACATCGAGTGATCCCCACCAACTGATATTCTATCTGACACATATTCTGACATTCTATCTGGCATTCTATGTGACATCTTGCACTGGCGAGTGAGGTCCGGGAGTGCCCACTGTGCTCTGGCGCTCACGGCTGAGGCCCTGGAGTGCGTTGAAGTCTGGCAGCGCACTGAGATCTGGAGCTTGCAGTTGACGCGGAGGCGGGCAAGAGAGGCGGGCAGGCCAGTTCTGATAAAATGTAGAGACCGCTCACCTGCAGGGGAATCATGAAAATGCAATGCAATGCAAAATCCTGAAAAAGTCTTGGGCAATTTATGAGGGTTTCACAAATTATACGGCGCATCGATGGTGGAAAATCGAGTTTACCACATCACTTTTAAACCACGACCAAATGTCCAAAATGGGGACCGCTAAAAATGCAGTAGAAACGCTTCTCGGGCCGTTCTCTCACCAAATTCTGCCCTTGGAATCAACATGTCTTAACCTCACAGAAAACAGAACCCTGAGCGTCGGAAAACGGAAACCTGTTTGAAGAGCTCGGAGATGTGGCAGGGATATTGTCACCGACTTGGTTCATGGAAAAATCATGTTCGTCATTAAACCCTCTAAAAGTGGATTGTTTGCACACATGGCTTGTCTCATAAGATATCACAATGTTGTTGAAATTGCATTCTCATGCTGGTTGGTCATCATCCTTTTGTTTCCTGTTATTAGTCGCTAAGATCTGCAAATCATTGTAGCCCATGGGTCTTGAGAGCAACACTGAATATATCTCCCCATTCAAGCCACCCACCCCAGTGGTTTTTTAGCGCATCGCCCATACATAACCCATATATAACCCATATGTCAAAACCTGGTACCTTAGGTGCCCATTCTATAATTGGTCCCTAAAATAGTTGGCTCATGAATGCTTATTTTCCCAACTATGGTAATTATAATGAATTATACGTAGGTTTTGACCCGTCCCCATAAGCGGCTTATAGATGTTTATAGAATGGCTATTCCCCACTGCACCCTCAAATCATCCCAGGTCGGTCCAAGGAGTCCGACATCTGCGCCCACGTACGCCTCAAGGTGGGCCATACGTCTCTACAGATGCGAACAAATGTCTGGTGTATACGGTGTATACGTACATACGTCGCATTCATTGTAAATATGTATAAACATAATGAACAAAAATTGCGCATATACAATACTTTTTTTGACTAGATTTTTTACACACACATATCTTGTATGATATGTGTGTTTTATATGTCTGCTTGGGTCGCTAAAGCGATGTGTTCTGCTTAAAGGTTGGCCGGTGCCTTTCGGCAACGAGAAGCTGCGCTAGTTGTTTTTCTCAGCGCGGTGTCATTCAGAGAGAGAAAAGAAAGGGAAAAATGAGAGAAACAAAAGATAAAAGATAATAGGGTAAAAGAAAAGCATGGGAAGGGAAGGACACCGAAAGGAAAGAAGAAGAAAAAGGAGAAAAGGAGGAGAAGAAGAAAGACAGTGGAAAAAGAAAACAAAATAAAGGATTGAAAAGGAAAGGACAGAAAGGACAAAAACGAAGGAAAGGAAACGAAGGGAAAGCAAAGACAAGCCGCTCAAAGCCTTGCCACCTGGAGAGACCGTACTTCTGCAGGGATCAACTTCACTGGTTCTGATGCTGTCTCCATCTTTGGCACTTGTCTTTTAAATACTTTTCTGTTTAAAATTGCCCTAGACGGATGGCGGTAGCGGTTTACTGTCTCCCCCCTCAACTCAATCAGTGGTACCTCTACAGTTCTTTTAGGTTGAGATCCCCTCTGTGGGGGAGGTTCGTTTGCGCAGCGCGGCAAAGACCTGGTTTACAGCAACAGCGGATGAACTGTCTTGCAAGAGGTTTTTTTCGCCTTCCTCAAATCCTTCAGGTTGTCCTGGTCCTCAAAATGTCTTTGGGTGGTCTTTAGAATCCTGACCGCGCTCTGACACGCGAAATTGACAGCGTCGGTCACGCCTGCATCCTCAGGCGCCTTGTTTATCAAATCGGCGTGTACCAGTAGTACCGCACAAGGCGGTGGCGGAAGTTTCAAAGATAGGAAACTGTCGGTGTGCTTTGTACATTTTGACTTGGAAATGTGCTTCGCGCCACAACGGCGTGCAAATGTTCATCTCTCATCTGGCCAGATGGCTCCGCACCCGCCGCTTCAGCGAGCCTACTTTTCGACCCTCTGGAGCCACAAATCATTGGAAAAACACAGTGTTTCGCGACTTTTCTACCTTTTCAGGCACATGCATCTTCTTTCTTCTGACTCTTTCTCTTCTCTGATCTTCTCTTTTCTTCTCTTCTCTTCTCTGACTCTTCCCACCCCTGCTTTTCCATCTGTCCATACTGTCGGAAGTTTGAATTCTAAACTTCCTTCGACTAGGCATTAGTAGACATGAGTCATTAGTGAATCTGAGATACTTAACTGAAGCAGTTCTCCATACAGTGGCTTGCCACACGAACGATTTAAACACGTGGTTCGAAGTCAAAGATGAAGGATCATGGCGATTTTTTGAAAAGTTGCTACCGAAAAAGTTTTCGATGACAGACTTCCGAGTTACGGCAGTTACGGCTGAATACGAACAGGAAACCGGGGTCGGTGTATCCAAGGTCTGCCGACGCATGCCGACGCTAGTCTTCTGCTCCCATCTTTTTTGGCTAGTCTCTCTATGTCTCTCTGTTCACATGTTCAAGTGATCAGACACGGTACTGCTGACTCATACTGCATTACTGATATTACTGCATATTTGTTGGATATTTACAGTATAAAAATCGACGATCGGTAGCTGGTTTGGCAGTTTTCTCTCAGATTCTGGTTTCATCACTTCGTCTAAGACTCCACACCATGCTGCCGTTGGAGGTTCCGAGCCGTGCCGACGCCTGAAACAGAAAAAATTGGCAGGATTGAGGCCTCAACAAGGTTGGTTTACATAGTGGGAGTTTAATGATGACTGGGGGCTTTTTAAAGGGGGGTTAATGAAGGGCTTAGCGATTCTTATAGCACTTTTGGGGCACATATTTTTGGGTGAAATCGACGTGTGCCAGCGATTTTGCTGTGAACAGCAGTGCCAGGTAGCAACGTGAACTAAGGTGAACTGACCCATCATTTCCTGAGCCATCAAAGTTATCACCGTCAACCGTGGGATTTGATTATGGTTACAACGATGGTAGTACTTCCTGGTCAACCCTAAAACATCCACCATTCATTAACATCCATTGACCAACAGTGGGATTTTTGTTTCAAAATATCATGGGCTTTTTTGTTCATCATTACTGTTTTTTAACCACGATTCCACGATGGATTGATGCGCCACAAATGGGTTAGTCTTGTAGCCATTCAACCATCCTGGGAAACTGACTCGGGCAGATGTGTCACCCATCCGGGGCTTCCCATTCACCCTTTTGAGATTCCTGGAGGACGAATATTCGGAACCATGGGTTACCTGCTGTCACCTTAAAAAGAATAAATCCATGCACACTTCCTCTATAAATTTAACATATGGAGGTTTCATAAGTCATAGGGCTACCCCTAACCCATCCATTTTGTAGGACTTTCCATCAAAAAAAACCATACATTTTGAGGTACCCAGATTAGAATGGAAACCCCCATATGATAATATACCATCTGGTTATGACTAACAGTTCGCCATGGAAAATCGCCATTTCTAATAATTAGGTAAATTAGGTAAACCATCTATAAACCATCTATTTCGATTAGGGCCATCATTTTCCATGGCAAACTGTTGGTCATAACCAGATGGTATATCATACAGCGGTTTATATACCATTATAATCCCCATTGACTATAGTTATATATACCATAAACCATAGTTAAACCAGATGGTATATTTAAATGTGATCATGACGCCACTCGGAATCGCCGCTGATCGTCATGAAGCCACCGATCCCACCTGTCTTGGGACGAAGCCTTGGATTCAAAATTCAGCGGGTCGCAACGCCATATTGGGCTTCGAAAAAACATAGAGTTATGGACTATTTACCCTCTGTTAAATTAACAGTTCGACCCTGGCAAATAGGACTTGGAAGATGAGTTTCAACTAACAAATGGTGATTTTCAGGGTCCAACTGTTAATTTACCAGAGGGTACATCTATTTACTAAATCTATCCTTGGGGATCTTATTAATATTATGGCAATGGGGGAAAGGCTCTGACATGCCCTGACAGCTGTCCGTGTCTTGCCCCACTGAAGCAGACTGAAAGCTTCCTGTGACACCATCATGGTCTTGATCAGTCTTCACATACGAATCTGCCACAGAAATTTGCCCCTTCAACAAATACAACAACAGGTGTAGTTCTCAAACGATCACAACATGACAGAACATGTCAAAACATATTCAGAACCCAGTGTCACAGAAACTGTCATCGTTTTTGGGTCTTTGGGGTGATACCCTCTGGTAATTTAACATAGCTATGGAAAATCACCATTTTTAATGGGAAAATCCACTATATATGGTCATTTTCAATAGCTATGTTAGTCATTACCAGAGGGTACCTCCAAACTCAGGGTCCACTTGTCGCCACTTTTGAGGCGACCAGAATTTTCGAGGCCGCGGCCGATCTGGAACTGGAGCTTCGTTTACCACCTCCATCGACAAGTCAATCCACTGGATGTGGGAAAAATCTGCGAGTTGTGTCTGGCTAGGAAATTCTGTAGGGAAATTACTACTTTTTTACTTTAGGGAATTCTTTGTTGATTTCTGGCTGTACACATGTTCCATGTTATTTGCAGCATTTGGGAGCTGAAACTTTCCAGTTTGCATGATACTTGCATGTGTTTGCAACAACATTTTGGAGCTGGAATCTTTGATTTGGCATGCTATTTGCAAGTTGTTGTTGGTTGTTGATTGTTGTCTGTTATACGTATAGTTGTGGGTTCTTGTTTGTTGTGTTATTCTTGTTGCAGCTGTTTAAGCTCCAACCCCACCTGACAGCATGTCGGAGATCAAAGCCTGCGCCTCGCACCGACAAGAAAAACACCGAAAAATAGGGTGCATGCCGCACAAGTGACATTTTGCCCACCCCCAAACCACCAACTGGAAACTCATTTTGCCCGCGATCCGCTCATCTCAATCACCATCAGGAGCTCGAGTAGCCACCAGCAGATACCCTGTGTGCGAACGCATTGGCATCTGATAGCTGAGCCATTGCTCTCCAGTTCCAGATGTTTTCGGAACATCTTTGGGCTCCTCCTCCTAGGCTGCCCAGAAAGATGATTAAAATGATTCAAAATGCATAAAAGTTGAGGTGTCTCAGTTTCATCATCTCAAGTCAGGACGAAAATCAAAAAAAAATATCTGTGAAACCCCCGAAAGTCACCAGCAACTTGCTTAGCTCAAATCCACACTTGGGAGGTTCACTAAATTCAACTGCTTTTTGCCAACAGAAACATCCAAACACATCCCGAAAAAAGAGGACAAGCCCCACCCGAAACTTGCCCTAAACTTACCCAAAAAAAAAGCAAAAGTAAACTTCGAAACACCCGTCCTCTGCCTCTTGCGCCGCCGTTGTGCCCGTTGTGCCTTCCGTGCGGCGTTTCTTTTTCGTGGCGTCCTGGCGCTTGACGCCCCAATTGGTCGCCAACGTCTCCAGCATTCGCACGTCGAAGTAACCGCTGCGCCGCAGTTCGGTGGCGGTCTTGTCCACCTCACGACGTGCCACGGCTAAGAAAAGTGCTACAGGATGGGCGGAATTACCCTCTGGTAAACATACAAAAAACGATGGAAAATCACCGTTTTTAATGGGAAAATCTACTATAGATGGCCATTTTCAATAGCTTTTTGTATGTTTACCAGAGGGTATCTTGGGAACTGGTGAGTGATTGACTGTTGGCAACGGGATTTGACATGTGAAAAAACGTTATAACATGTTATAACCCTGTTACCACAACCGCTCAACCGAATCCAAAGGCCATCAGTTTCTCAAATGAATACGTCCTTTTGCCTGGTTTGACAGGGATTTTGATTTAGCCTATATCCTATACCTGTTTTTTAGAGTATAGTCGTATTCTTCATGGCTCAACTGATCTCAAAGTAACATGAGATCTTTGGGTGGACGTTTTGGATTGTGAGTAACAAAAATCGAAGAAACAAAGCAAGGAGGTTGAACCAGCATGATCCTGCGAACGATGCTGCTTTCCGCCACAGAAAATCTGCAGGAGTTTTATCCGAAGCAGATTAGTTGTTGGCAAAATCTGCCACATAGCCCAGTGTTTGTCATTTTATGTAACGTTGATATAGTTGTTGTGCCTATGTATCCTTTGGTACTGGATTTGTGTGGGCGTGTGCCACTGCCTCCTAATGTCATAGCACAATCAACCTTCACCAACATTTGCCAGCTATTTTTCATACCCTTGGTACTCAAAAGTGGCAATGGAAAATCTCCTATAAATGGTGGATTTTCCAGCAAGCCATGTTTGATTGCCAGAGGGTATTCCATTAAACCTCATTAAATATCATTAAACGATGGTTAAATCAGTTACCCTCTGGTAATGACTAACATAGCTATTGAAAATCACCATAGAAATAGTGGATTTTCCCATTAATAGCATGGTGATTTTCCATAGTTTTTTGTATGTTTACCAGAGGGTAAATCCCATTGTTTTCCCATGATGCAATCCAGCAATCCAACCGATCCAACCTGTTCTACGCACGGGGAGAAGGCCACCACTTTGCCGCCAAAAACCAGGCACTTTGTGACGTGTGGTACAGCCGCCCAGGGCGCGGGGAGGTCTAGAAACACACCGTGCACCTCAGGGGATGAGGACGACAAACAACGGCTTCAACGGCTTCAACGTGTTTCAATGTGTTGAAAAACGTGTTTCAACGTGTTTGTTGGGGTAGACATTTTATGTGAAATCCTATCTTTTGCTGGTTAAATCATGTTAAATCCATCAATCAAGGTTGGGATCTTTGGACACTGCCACTGCTTTTACACATTTTATGGCAATTTATGGGGTATGACTCACCATCAATATATACCTATATAAATATACGTATACATGGATCAATAGCTGAGATCATCTAGGGGTGCCTGGCCCTTGAGCTCTTCGCCAAAGCCATGATTGCAAACATCACGGTGCTGGGATACGACGACATCCAATACACCATAGGTGCCTCAGTGGTGAAAATGAAATCACATTCATTGGGAATTCCTCACCCCGTTCATGAGTGTGAAAAACTCAGTAAATACATGTAAATACACTTGAAACAAAAGTCCTCCCAAAAAAAAGGTTGAAACCAAAAACCACCGAAAATATCCCATAAGATCCAGATCCAATCCAGCTACTAAAATCTGCCATGGCCTGTTTCTGCCGTTCCTCATGAAACTCAAAGGTGTAGAGTTTGCCGTTGGGTCTCAAGGCACGACTGAGGCTGGCCGAGACCGAGCCAGAGCCCGTGCCAGCTTCGCAGATGATATGCCCAGGCCGGGCATCCAGCAGCGCCCGCAGCAGGGAGATGTCCGCGTGGTACACGATCTGCGTACGATGCGTCAGGCTCTGGGTGATGAACTCAGGAGATGGACGCAGCAGGGCCAACCACAAGCCACCTGCTTTGGCTTAAGGATCTTAAAGGGGTGCAAACTGGCCAACAAGACTTGAGGCCCAAAAGAAAGGGACGAAAGATCGGCAGGGAGCTGGGGATGAAAACACACAGGGCATTAGCGGCATTACACATGATGAAAAGATGTAACGGATGTTCGTCCTCCCAAAGATAGCACAGTAATGTATTAAACCATGCGCTATTGACGAGGCCAATGATGCAAAGGATGCGGATGCTGCCGATGTTGCTTCCGCTGGTGAAATGCCGACAGTGTCCGGGGGGAGATTGAGCCACGGCCAAACTGCTTGTGAACCAGTCCAGCGGGGGGTAGTTAACTTTGAAGTTTCCCACGATTGGAGATTCCAGCCCCCCCAATACCTTGCTAAAGCAAGAGGGACTTCAGCTAGCGGAAGTTAGCTCAAGGGGAATATCTGGTAAGCATCATGCTGTCAAAAATGGGAGGTGATGATTCTTAAAGAGGACACTGACAACATCTCATGCGAAAACACGGTGGTTTTCAGGTGGTCTTCGTGATGGTTTCATCATGTTTCATCCACACCTCTTCGGGATCTCACTCTGCTTCCAAAATGCCGCCCAATGATCTCGTCATGGTGGAAGTTCCCAAAGCGATTGTTAGCGATCTCCCCGTGCTTCAGGACAATGCCAAAGATCTGGGTGTAGCTTCCCCACAAAATCACAAAGTCCCCCTCCCGCGCAGTGTCGGAAGTGGATACGTCGGAAATCTCGGCATCAGCTGCCATGGGACAAAGAGCCAAACGGGCTGGGCGATACGGATTGACGTGCTCTTCACATCCCGCAAGGAACTCACCTACTGAAGGATGTTTTGTCAGACTCATGGATTTCTTTCCAAAAGAACGACCGACTATCTGCAAAAAACAGACCACTGACAGATAAATGCTGGCCAGCGGGCATGTCACAAAATTGGCGCATCGACAAAAAAACAGTGAACTCGCTATCCATGTTTGTTCACTTAACGCCACACAAATTCAACGGCCCAAAAAGATCCAAGAATGAAATGCAAAGAATAACATATATACATTGACATCTAAAAAATATATCTATATATATATACATATACACATACAAACGTACATACATTGCATTGCATTGCATTGCATTACATTACATTACATTACATACATTACGTACATTACATACATTACATACATTACATACATTACATACATTACATACATTACATACATTACATGCATTACATGCATTACATACATTACATACATTACATACATTACATACATTACATACATTACACATTACATTACATACATACATACATACATTACATACATTACATACATTACATACATTACATACATTACATAACATAACTTAACTTACATTACATACAGTACATGCATTACATACATACATACATACATACATACATGCATGCATGCATGCATACATACATACATGCATTACCTTACCTGACCTTACCTTACCTTACATTATATTACATTACATTACATTACATTGCATTAATACATACATACATACATACATACATACATACATACACACATACATACATACATACATTACATACATTACATACATTACATACATTACATACATACATACATACCTACATACATACCTACATACATACATACATTACATACATTACATACATTACATACATTACATTACATTACATTACATTACAAAACATTACATTACATTGCAAAACTTAACATTACATTACATTACATTACATACATTAATACATACATTAAATACATACATACATTATATACATACATAACATACATAACATACATTACATACATTACATACATTACATTACATTACATTACATTACAAAACATTACATTACATTGCAAAACTTAACATTACATTACATTACATTACATACATTACATATATACTTACATTATATTACATTACATTACATTACATCACGTTACGTTACGTTACGTTACGTTACGTTACGTTACGTTACGTTACGTTACGTTACATTACATACATACATACATACATACATACATACATTACATACATACATTACATACATAACATACATAACATACATAACATACAAAACATACATACATACATACATACATACATACATACATACAGACATACAGACATACAGACATACCATACCATAACATACCATAACACAACATAACATAACATAACGTACCATACATACCATACAAACCATACATACCATACATACCATGCATACCATACATACCATGCATACCATGCATACCATGCATACCATGCATACCATACATACACACATACCTACCTACCTACCTACATACAAACCTACATACCTACATACCTACATACCTACATACCTACATATATATCATACATACCATACATACCATACATACCATACATACCATACATACCATACATACCATACATACCATACATACCATACATACCATACATACATACATACATACCTACCTACCTACCTACATACATACATACATACGCACGTACGTACGTACATACATACATTACATACATACATACATACATACATACATTACATTACATTACATTACATTACATTACATTACATACATACATAACATACATTACATACATAACATACATACATACATTACATACATTACATACATTACATACATACCATGCATAACATGCATAACATACATTACATACATAACATACATAACATACATAACATACATAACATACATAACATGCATTACATACATTACATACATTACGTACATTACATACATACATAACATACATAACATAACATAACATAACATAACATAACATACATACATTAATTACAAACCTTACATTACATTACATTAGATTACTATACATTACATTACATTACATTACATTACATACATACATTACATGCATGCATGCATGCATGCATACATACATAGATATATAGATACATAGATAGATACATAGATACAAAGATACAAAGATACAAAGATATATAGATACATAGACACATAGATACATAGATACATAGATAGATAGATAGATAGATTGATTGATTGATAGATAGATACATACATACATACATACGTACATACATACATACGTACATATTTATATATTATATATACAATTATATACATATATATATATTCATATACATATTTATATTTATATGTAATATCTAAGAAATAAATCCTTCTGGCTCACACAACCCCATCCCAGTTGGCTTTGATTGTTTTTTCAGCCTTCTCCAGTTCGAAGTTCCGCGCATCGGCTGTTGCCTTAGTGGATCCGCAAGTTGCTTCACAAGGTTGCTTCCAAATTTGCTCCACATTTCACGACTTGAAAACACCAAGAATGTTGTGGCCGTGGCTGCACGGCGGACGCTCCAGCAGACACCTGGCAAAACATTCGCAAGTTGCCAAAAACGAAATTGCTATAGATTACTAGCAACCTCAAAAATGAAACGATAAAAAATTGTGTAAACCTAATTTGAAAAAACACCAGACTATACTCACTGCTATTTTTCCTGAATTCTAGAATCGACCTTGAAAGTGTTGGCGATTATGATTCGGTTCTCCTCCGGCAGCATCCAAAATTCCATCAACCATCCTTTTCCTGTCACCAATTCACATCACTGGTTCCGTCCACAGATCTGAGTGATCAGTAGACACCACCCATTGTGCACCTGGACTTTCTCCCGTGGGCGAGGACACATCACCTCAAGAAAAGTACAATCGCCTCTCTAAAAATCAAACAAGGCAGTGGGAAAATCACGCAATTTACACCAAATCCTATTCAAGTTGCAATTATATATAGTATCTAATATTACAGCAACAATGATTTATATACTGTAGACAACATTTTTCCCCCAACTCCAACTCCGAGAACTCCGGCTCCAGGAGGCCTGTGGGAAGCTGGGAGTGGGATGATGAAAACACCAATATGAAGTCTGGAGGTTCTAGTTTTTCTTGGAATATTCGGAGTGTCGGCGCAAGTCCTACCAGTGGTACACCGTGACAGCAGATGCTTCAGAATTGATTTCGCCATGTCGTTTTGTCTCATTGGCTCGTGCCTTACTTCATTCTGAATTGGCTCAGCAACAAGTTGCTTGTAGATGTATGGCCTTTCTTGGTTGAGATGATGGCTGTGACAACTGACGGATCTCTACTTTGGCAGACGCCTGCTTATGACGGCGAGGACGCCACTTGCATTCAGCGGTCCTTATCATTGCACTCCTTGCTAGCCATTTCGATCATGTGGCTTATGTCTGTCACACATGCTTTGGATGACCAATTTGGAGGACAAGGCTATGACAACGCATGCTTCTGTTTCATCCCTGGCTGTGATGGCGCTCTGCGTGGAAGGGCGCGTGCAATTTGCCCTTGCATGAATGTCATTGCACTTGAGTCTGCCCGAATCAGATCGGGTAACTTTGATTGGCTTAGTAGTCATTTGCAGTGGACAGGAAGGAGTCAGGAGGCAAACTGGGTTGATTTCGCACAAGCATCATCAGGTGCCAGTGGGACAGCAATAGAGGACAAACGTACCGCTTGGGTGAGCGAAGGGCCTGCAACACTTGAGCCTTGAGGCGGCAACCGGCAGCCGTTTCCTCAACTAGATTATTTTCCTTGTGAGTTGCCCGGCGGAAACAACCTCCCCGGTGCCTTGTTTCAATTTGTTTGTGGCCTACGTTGGCCCTGCCGGCCGTTAAAGTTTTCCAGTAGATGCAAGGAAGTCGGCAGCCGGCAACCTCTGACGACTGCCTTCCTTCAGTTGTGCTTTGCTGTGTCGAACCCTGCTCACCATGAGCAGGTGTACTCTGTTGGACACACGGGCCTGCGCTCTGATATTGGAATATTCGGAATAGATGAAAATGTTTGACTTTGAAACGAGAACCAACAAGAAAGTGGTCTGTTTCAGGTGAAGAATCAGGCGCATCAAGTAAGCTTCGCAAAACCGCGAAAGAGTGGGTGAGACCCTTGGCTTCTGAAACATTTGGGGTAGAATTCGAGACCCCAGAAATGTTGGTCATATTCAGTACTCTTTGTATCTCTTTGTATCATCATCTTTTGGAGGTCGTTCTGAGCCATGGCCGGCTCCATTACGAATCTTCTTATCCCAGTATTGGCTAGTCCAGGCACTTGACCACCATCCATAGCCACTTTTTTATTGCTTCCTTGTATTTCAAGATAATATCATTGATCTGGGTAAATTACATCAAAAATTGCCATATGTCACTAACCTGAAAAGTTCGGCCATTGGGGGATGATTTCCCTATATTAACCATGATTCCAGGGCTCGGTCGCGACGTGAGATCATCCAATCATAGCATGTCCACGGCCCCCTGCCTGATTGAGACCAGGCCTCAGAGATCCAATGGGATAGGGAACACACCATAACAATAAAATTATATGAAATTGAGACAGAAATAATTAAGTCCCAGCAAATTTTGGGTTTAACAAAAAATGGATAGCAAAACTATGCAAAACTGCCAGTTGATAATGATCCGTGACTAAAAAATTGAGCCTTCGGTAGGACAAGCCCGACTACCGCAAGCATCACCTATGGAGAGGTCTCAACTGAGAAATTCAGATCAATGATGGGGAGCTATCGCAGATGGTGGGACATCATATGCATCAAGAAATTCCAAATGACGGGCCCTGTATACCACTGTGTTTTCGCGGGGGGGTTTAAAAAGGGTGAAGAATCGTTTTATGACTTATTTTTGGATAAGGTTTGGGTTTTTTATTTCTTTCCTGGTACCATTTGCATCCATTTGCCTTGTATTTGCAACGGTTTGGAACTAGAACCTGTCATGTTGCATGGCATTTGCTACATTTGGCATGTCTACCTTCCATGTTGCACAGTATTTACTT